TTTTTTTTAGAAAAAACTTAAATTTTTAGGTGAAAATTACTATTTTGAAGCATTTGAAACATTTTATAATAAGCAACATTTTTCGTTATAACTAATAGTACTCCTAAAATGGGAACTTCTTTTAAAAATTCCGAAACATTTGGAGGGTAAAAAGTGGGTTAAGGGCAAACACTATTGTTATTATATATATCTTTATTATTGTTAATATTACATATCTAAAACATTAAACTATATATATTTTACAAAATTTATTAAATACTAATCACATTCAGAATCCGAGGTTTGATCTGAATTATTTGGTAGCATTGGATCCTCCAGTAGTTTAAGGACTTCATCAGGTAGTGGCTCACTATATCGATGGTTAAGAGATGTACTACGAGACAAACTTGATATTTTTGGATCAGAAAAAATAGCAACCTATTGAAAAGATTCCTCATTGTTTTCTCACGACTAATTTTTCTGGTGTACAGTTCCCTGTAGTTCCGAAAGTCCTTTTTTCTGGATTCCATGGCTTCTTCAGACAACATTCCTATGGGCAAAGCTGCACATTTAATTATATCAGCTCTAATATTTTGTGTATGCTTAAAGACATATAGAACCAAGAATATAATTCCACGAAAAGAATAAATGTTTCCTCAGTAAGTCTTTTTTAAAGACTCTGCGTTAATAGCATATCCACAGACCATGGTTGAAAGGATGATACTAAAATTTTTAATTAATTTTTCATCAACACCAGTTATCGGCGATGCCTAGCCAGGTTGGCTAAAAAAACGCCTAGCAGTATTGCCATCGTTTGTTGTTCCGGATACTGACTTAGGTGTGTCAACAATAATGTGCATTTCTTCCTTCAAATCATTAATGACTTTCCTTTCTTCGAAAAGTGGCCGATTGGAGCTATTAATTTTCCACTTTTTCAAAAACAGTCGGTATGAAATGTGCAATATACATTCTAAACCACGAATCCTTGCATGTAAGGTAGACAGGCCGTATTCGTATAAGTTGATGTTTGGTTTTAGTGACGAAATTTTGTTGTAATCATTCCTTACTTTTGGTCTTATGTGCTTATAGCGAAAACCATAAATGGAGGTAAAACCTTGTATATATAAATGTTACACCAATGATATTTTTCAGGGTTCATAAAGTGAACCCTTTACCTGCGGTATTGTAGAAGACTCTTACAACCGATTTCGTTGTAATTTCAATTTTTATTTAGAAAGACATTTGGAATAAATGTATATTCTGTGCATGAGTTTAAAAGCCACGTTTGGAGCGTCCTACTCATTTTCATACACACACCCAGTACTCTGGAACCTTAGGATGGACATTTTGAACTTGTTTTTTTCTTATCTGCTATGCTGTGATCTATTCCAAGTCATATTTGATGAGTTATATAAAAAAATTCACAAATTTTTAATTTTATTTGAACAAAACCTTAAAAAAAGCTTCCTTATGAGTCGCAGGAAGTTGCAGGAAAAAATTTAGTATGATGTTCTAACAGACACACAAGAAAAATAAAACAAAAATCAACGCTGAACTCGACTGCACTCTATACTAAACCCCTATTTTAATTGAAGCCCGAAACACCTAAATTAAAATAACTTATGGGTTATATAACTATGCCATTTAATTAAATACCAATACTAAATATTAAAAATGGACAAAATTTTATAATAATATATTCACAGAAAGCATACGACCATCGCAATTTTATAGCTAAAAAATACCATTTTTATACCCTTCACCACACTGTGGTACAGGGTATTATGTCTTTGTGCATATGTTTGTAACAGGCAAAAATAATCGAGATAGACCCATGGTTCCTTTTGAGAATATGCATAGAATTACTTTCTGAGTCGATTTACGCATGTCCGTCTGTCCGTCCGTCCGTCCGTCCGTCCGTCTGTCCATGTTAAATTGTAAACAAAGTACAGGTCGCATTTATGATCCGAATTGGATGAAATTTGGCATAGGTCACTTATTTGGCCCAAGGACGAACCCTATTGAAATTGGGAAAAATCGGTTCAGATTTAGATATAGCTCCCATATATATATATTTAACCGATTTAATGTAAACAGTCCCTATATAACTTTCGATTTGCACGAAATTTAGTACAGCCTAATCATTTAGGTCTAGAATGATGTCTGCCAAGTTTCGTGAAAATCGGTCCAGATTTAGATATAGCTCCCATATATAGTTTCGTCCGATTTCATGTAAATGGTGCCCCAAAGTCCCTATATATCTTTTGATTTGCACGAAATTTGGCATAACGTACTGAATTAAGCCTAGAGTGATGTCTGCCAAGTTTCGTGAAAATCGGTCCAGATTTAGATATAGCTCCCATATATAGTTTCGTCCGATTTCATGTAAATGGTGCCCCAAAGTCTCTATATATCTTTCGATTTGCACGAAATTTGGCATAACGTACTGAATTGAGTCTAGAATGGTGTCTGCCCAGTTTCAAGAAAATCGGTCCAGATTTAGATATAGCTCCCATATATAGTTTCGTCCGATTTCATGTAAATGGTGCCCCAAAGTCCCTATATATCCTTCGATTTGCACGAAATTTGGCATAACGTACTTAATTGGGCCTAGAATGATGTCTGCCAAGTTTCATGAAAATCGGTCCCGATTTAGATATAGCTCACATATATATTTTCGTCCGATTTAATGTAAATGGGGCCCCAAAGTCCCTATATATCTTTCGATTAGCACGAAATTTGGTACAGCCTAATCATTTAGGTCTAGAATGATGTCTGCCAAGCTCCGTGAAAATCGGTCAAGATTTAGATATAGCTACCATATATAGTTTCGTCCGATTTCATGTAAATTGTGACCAAAATCCATATATATCTTTCGATTTGCACGAAATTTGGCATAACGTACTGAATTGAGCCTAGAGTTATGTCTGCCAAGTTTCGTGAAAATCAGTCCAGATTTAGATATAGCTCCCATATATAGTTTCGTCCGATTTCATGTAAATTGTGCACCAACTTCCATATATATCTTTCGATTTGCCCGAAATTTTGCACAACGTACTGAATTGAGCCTAGAGTGATGTCTGCCAAGTTTCGATAAAATCGGTCCATATTTCTATATAGCTCCCACATATAGTTTCGTCCGATTTCATGTAAATGGTTCACCAAAGTCGCTATATATCTTTCGATTTGCACGAAATTTGGCATAACGTACTGAATTGAGCCTAGAGTGATGTCTGCCTTGTTTCGTGAAAATCGGTCCAGATTTAGATATAGCTCCATTTTATTATAGATTGATTTTATGTAATTGACGCACCAAGGAACCAATAGGAACAAAACGTTCTAAAGTTAGTATAACCTAACCTGTGACAAGTTTGATTGAAATCGCTTAATATGTGGATATAGCTTACATATATTTTTTCGCCCGATATCAAGCAAATTGGGCATCATACTCCTCATGTTAGTCAGATTGACATCAAATTATGCACAACGTACAAAATTGAGCATAGAATTACGTAGTTGCGTTTTCTAGAAGTACAGACATAGTCAACCGGATGACCTATTTATATTTGTTTGAAGTCGATTTACACACTTTATGGACAAATCTAGGTAGATTCACATTTAGATAAATATCACATATTTTATTTCATCCAATTTCATGTTAATAGTCCTGTTTAATGTACCCATAGTGGTGAAGGGTATCCTAGAGTCGGCCCCGTCCGACTTTACTACTTTCCTTACTGGTTAACATTGGAAAAAATTTCTAGCTTATTAATTCGGATTATTTTATACGGACTAAAGTACTCTCAACACTCTACTTTAAAACTGCATTAATGTTTGAACGTTTCCTTCAACCTAAAAGAGGGGCAATATTTCACCTTTTCAAGAATTTTGACAATTTTCGAATAATGATTTCTTGAAATCCTTGCATTTTAGGTATATAGTGTCTTCGGCAATATTACTGATAAAATATCGAGTAATATTTTGGTATGCAACTTTAACCCACAACCGACTCATTAAAGGGTCTTTTCAGTCCTCTTTTCCAGGAGTGATTGAAAACTCATTCAAACGGGGTTAAAGCTGCTCAGAATATTCTACAGAAATGTTCGCCATAAAGTTTTACTATATGTCTCAGAATAGACTAAAACTCAAAAATCAGCCTAAACGTCAAAAATCTTAAAAAAACAAACTCTTATTTTAGGGTTTGTATCGTTCTTATTACTAGTTTTTACCCATTTTTCCCACAAGATGTCGCTTTAGAAGGATAGTATGAGGGACAAAAATATTCTCCATCACTGAACAATAGAAATATGTATATATGTATATACCGAATATATAGTCATACATTTTGAACCAAAAGCTCAAAATGTTCTTGAATTTCCCAGTATTTTTTCTAGTAGTAGTAGCCCCTCTTTTTTAATCTGTTGGAATTTCCCGGTAATTAACAGAAAAATTGAAATTTGTCTCACAATGTTATTTTCCTCGTGCTCTATATGCTCTACTTCCTTAATAATTTGTTCGTCACTTTCAAAGAGGCCCATTGGGTACAATCTGTTAAGTATCTGATCTTTCTTCACGTTCCAGATATTTTCGTCATTGACCTGACATATTTTATGACCCGGACATCTTCAATGCTATTTTCCGACCCTATTGATTTATTGTTGCTCTACCAGAAGACTTGTTGCATTGCACAATAAATAGGTAGTCGATTTAGCGCAGCTGATTAACTATCAAAGTACGTAGTTTCTACTTGAATTCGATGTGCAAAGTTGTCAACCATGAGAAAGTGAAATGAAAATCGGAACTATACATTTGGATAATTTAACAGTATTTCTTCTACTGTCCTAATTATGTATTTGCCCTGGTTGATGCTGCATATTTACTAACGGATTGATTTCATAATGACGAATATTGAAGAAGTAAACGACAAAAAAAACTTGATTTAAATATAATTTATTTTCTTAAAAAACTAAATGGAAAGGCCTTAAATGCTACAGCGACATTGGAAATGTAAAATATTCGGCTTATTGCCAACCATTCCAACCATTATTCCAGCCGCCATGACCACCAGCACCGGTGTTGATAACTTTCACGATTTTAACTTCAGCACCGCCATGACCATGTCCATGGCCATAACCTCCATGACCATAACCATGATCATGATGATCAGCGTGGATAACTTTAATGTTATGAACATGATAACCACCATGACCATGGCCATGAGCATAACCATGACCATGTCCGTGATCATGTCCTTGGATAACCTTGACAATTTTTACTTCAGGTTGTGGTTGGGGTTCGGCATGAATGACCTTTACAGTTTTTACATGAACATCTCCATGACCATGTCCGTGGCCATAGCCATGATCGTGTCCACTAACTGGAATCACTTTGACAGTTTTGACATCAACGTGATCATGGCCACCACCATATCCACCAATGTCACCGCCTCCAATGAAGCCAGCCGAGCAGGTGGCTACCAAAACAGCTAAGGTGCAGATAAAGAACTGAAAGAACATACAATGGTTTTATTAACAATTCCATTGGTTTTGAACAATTTATTACTCACCTTCATGTTAGGAATCTTCTTGCTTGAATCCTCTTGGGAGATTATTGGAAATTCCTAAGGTTTATTTTGTTTTTCTGTTAGACAGAAACGAATGATACTCTTCACTGCCAGTCGCTGTCTTATATATTCAAATCAAAAAAATCAATGAATTTGTTTCAAATGATGATCGTCATCATCAATTTTGAAATACATCAATAAAAATTAAACATATTCGCAAAATCTGCAAATCTATTCAAATTCCCAGCCATAAAAAATGCATTTTATTTTGTGGGCGTGTAATTTGTTGTTGTTTTCACACCAAATGTTGTCGATATTTGCATATGAACTGTTTCAGACAAAGCCAATCGGGGTAGGTGTGTAAATAGTTGTATGGAAAAATACCAAAAAACAAATTGTAACACCATTGATTAATAAGATTAGATCGATTTTAAGGGGCGATGATTTTTAATGGTATCAACGTCATTAATCGCAAATATGAAGCTGAGAATGGAATGCGGCATAATTTTGATTAAATGGTTATGTACGATCATTACAATCCTTCTTTAATAAATTTTACAAACCGATTTATGTACAAAATTATGTACATCAAATAAAAATTTCAACGATTTTTAATCGGTATTTTTCATAAAATCTGAAAACCCCAAAACGTGGACGAATATTGTAAAAATCCTTAAATAATGTTAAAAAAGAAAATATATAGAACACTTAGTTTTTTACAATCCTTCTCAAAACCCTCCATATATATTGGGGGGTTTTGAGAAGCCAATATTGATTACAAGCTAGGAATTAGCGAATATTTTCAGTTATCATTATATGAGGGGCTATACCTAATTAATGATCGAAATAGCTCAATTTCGAAACCATTATTTTAGTTTTGTATCTAAATTTTTTCCTTCAGGAGGTATCATTATATGGGGAGATGCCTAAATTCTGGCCGATATATTTATCATCCTCAGATTCGGGTTGTTTTATATCACGATATTCTTAGAAGGAGGCATGATTACAACAGATGGCTTAATCGGTTTAGAAATCCATACTTTGTAGGGTAAAAACGGGCAATTTTGAGTAAAGAATATCACCCATAGTATGGTATACGGGTATATTAGGACAACCCCAACATATAGAACAAATCAGATATCTATTTTAATATAAAAAGGGTCTTATATGGGGACTACCCTGCAGCGAATTCGGTTGAATAACGTGCTCAAGAACCTCAAAATACCGATAATTGGGGGTACCCTTATAGTTGACCAATATTTATAAGTTTCAGTGGAGAGGTTTGCTACCCAACTACTATTGTGGAGAGCTTATCTATGGCACTATATCTATACTATAACTATATGAACCGATTTTCTTGCATTTCAATAGGCGTCGTCCTTGGGCCAAATAAATAACATAAATCAATAGAATTAACCGAAAGAAAACAGCAACACTGAAACAACCCTTCGAAGTGAATGGTTTCTTCGGCAAAACTGGTCATGTTGCTACTCTTTTATTTGAACAACACAGGACCAGGACAGGTCAATTCTGAATGGTACCTCACTGAAAAAAGAAAAGTACAAAAGAATCATATTTTCTTTTTATACACACTTGGGCAGCAAAGAACACCATCAAGAAACGTGGTAATGGTGTCGTAATGATATTGAGGCGAAAACGCAGCGTATAAGGTAACCCTGCATACAGAAAAGGAGAAACGTATTTCCAAAAAAAAAAAAAAAATTAAGAAGAAAGAAGAAAGAACAAGAAAAACGTGAGCGGGAGCGGGAGCGGGAGATGTACAGGAGTCAGAACGAAGTTCGGAAATTTAACCAAACAGAAGGAACATCTTCCTGTAGAGATGAAGAAGGAAACCTGGTGAGAGATACAGACAGCGTGTTGAGGATTAGAAAAGAGCATTTTGAAATACTTCTGGTATCAAAGCGCTGGTCAGGAGCACGCCCCAGCTGTGTCCGGTGCACAAAAAGAGGAGACAAGACGATATGTGCCAACAATAGAGGAATAAGTCTCCTACCCATCGCTTATAAAGTGCTATCAAAAGTGCTGTGTGAACGACCGAAGCCAATGATCAATGACATTATTGGAACATACCAACATACCATACCAATCACTCTGCGCCAAATCATGGAAAAGATCCACGAAAACACACATCGACATTTTCCATCTATTCTTTGACTAAAAGCCGTATTCGATGCCTCTATTCGTTCAGAGATGTTTAAAACCATGCCTGCAAAACTAATTCCTCTATGCAGGATAACATTAACTGGCACAAGATAAGCAGTTAAAGTAAAAAAAGACCTCTCTAGTATTTACGCAAGCATATGAGGCAGCTCTTGGATAGTTTGAGAGAAAAATTCTCCGAAAGATCTATGAGCCGATCTGCGTTGACGGTTGAGTTGTACCAGATATTTTCGGACATCGGCATTGTTAGACGTATCGAGCTGCAGCGACCATGTTGGCTAGGTCATGTTGTGAGAATGGATGAAGTTGTCCCAACTTGAAAGTCATATAAAAGCGAACCATCTGATGGTTCACACAGAAGGGTAAGGTCACCAATTAGATGGAAAGATCGATTGGAAGCCAATATTGCAAAACATGTTCTTTCAAAATTTGAAAATCTCAAGAACTCTGAAAGATATAGCCGATTTATTGCGTCAGCATCAAGCGACGGCAGAAATGATTCTCAAACTTTAAACGATTTTTCTCAAAACAGTGTTTTACGAATGTCGGGTACGATAATGGTTCCCTAAAAGGGTTTGCTAACTACAGTATTCGATTGCATGTATGTACGTTTGTGATAGATCTTAGTCATGACTGTGATTGTTATGATGACGCCTAACATCATCGAATGTCGTATTATGAAATTAGCCATTGCGATTAGAAGATCAGGCACCATCGGAAAGCATTAGAATATTTTAGGTATATATAAGGACGGGTTTTTAACTTGATATAAAGCAGTCCAAATTAAAAACATATATCCTTTCTTATCGTTTAGGCTACATATTACAATAGATGGAATCAGGATTGTGAGAGTAAAGAAAATTACTTTTATGAAGCATACTTTTGGGCGCATATTCAAATTGGAAAAAAACGCAAAAAACTTATGAAATTTTTATAGGTATTTTGCATATGTGTGTACGTTGGAATTGCATTTCTCAAATTTCGAAAAAAATTAATGTTGTGCTGAATTGATTTTTTTTAAATTCGAAATACTAAGGAAGATGTTCGAAAAAATATTTTTTTCGAAAAAATTTTACAGAATTGTAATTTTTGAATTTCGAAAAATGAAAGTTGTGCTGAATTAAGCTCAATTTGTGCTCAATTGTGCACACTCTTTTCGAAATAATCGATATTGTCGAACGTATGGCAGAATTGCAATTTTCGAATTTCTTGCTGAATTGTGCTAGTTTTGAAAACTGCATTTCTGTGAAATTTTCTCAAAAAAAATGTTTTTATTTCGAATATCTTCCTTAGTTTTTCGTATTTAAAAGAAATTACGGCACAATTTGGCACAAACCTATCACAGTTCAGGACAACATTCATTTTTTCGAAATTCGAAAAAAATGCCCAGCCCAACATTCAACCTGAGGGTCTGCAGTGGAGGATATGAACTGTTCGGCCCTGCCGAAATTGACGATTAATTTACTTGTTTTCCTTTTTTTATCCCTATGGAGAATAAAGTGGCTCATCTTAGTGGCTCATCTAATTTGATACATATGGTTTTTAATATATTTAAATCCAACGTCTTATTATTATGTCGTTCACACCCGCACTATTTTATTTTTGCGCTAACATACTTATGCAAATTTCTTTAGGTCAATATTTAAACAAAAATAGCCATTTGCGGAAAACTACCAAACGAAGACCCAATTTGCGAATAAAATGCATTATGATTTACATACATCGTTTCGAATAAAATACAAAAATCATATTATGTCGAAATATTATTTATTTTATATTTTATTGCTCTATTTAAAAATAGATTTGCTTAAGATTTAAAATAGTTTTGTTAAATGGCAATTTAATATATAAATACCATTGATTTGCTGTGAAGAGCATCAGTAGTTTCTGTTTAGCAGAAAAACAAAACAACTTTAGGAATAATCTCCAAATAAATAATTTAAGCAAGTAGATTCCTAAAATGAAGGTGAGTGACAAATATTCACTAAGGGAATAGTAAGATGGGAATTAAAACTAAATTTGATTTGGTTTCTTTTTCAGTTCTTCGTCTGCACCTTAGCCGTTTTAGTAGCCACATGCTCAGCTGGCTTCATTGGTGGTGGTGGTGATATTGGTGGATATGCTGCAGGATATGATCACCATGAGCATGTTGATGTTAAAACTGTAAAGGTTATCCCAGTTAGTGGGCATGACTATGGCCATGGGTATGAACATGGTCATGGGGATGTTCATGTCAAAACTGTGAAGGTTATTCATGCCGAACCCCAACCACAACCTGAAGTGAAAATTGTTAAAGTTATCAAAGAACATGGTCATGGACATGGATATGCTCATGGACATGGTCATGGTGGTTATCATGTCCACAACATTAAGGTTATCCATGCTGATCATCATGATCATGGACACGGTCATGGAGGTTATGGTCATGGTGGTGCTGAAGTTAAAATCGTGAAAGTAATCAATGCCGGAGCTGGTGGTCATGGTGGCTGGAATAATGGCTGGAGTGGTTGGCAATAAAGCTCAGAGCAGTGATGTAAATAGCACTTTCCATGTTTATCCTGCCAGTTAACCAATATCACTGTACATTTCACCCATTAGTTTAAGAAAAATAAATTATATTTAAATCTACAAATTTTTGAATTCTTCGATTTTTAAATATTGACTAGAATTGATCTTATATAGGTTGAGAATACTCGCATCGCATCACTTCGGTTGAGCCATTGCCTAGAATTATCAAAAGATCGACCCATATTAATATTTTTGTTGGTAGAAAGATGTCAAAATATCAAATAACTGCAATGAACCAATTAGGTTGAAAAACGTGCCCA